GAAAACGGCCCTCCCACCCAGGGCTCTCTCTACATAAGCACCCAGCAATGGTGGGGCCACAGGAGGCAATTAGGGGTCCCTACTGCAAGCCCTCCTGGAGACTGTCACACATCGACAGTACTCACCCTGACGTTGTGGCTCTAACCAGGGGTGTCTAGAGTGATGGGCAGGGAGATCCTGGCACATGAGGTGGAGCGAGCACAACCGACCGGGGTTGAGGGAGGGGGAAGCGTGATGGGGACCGGCCCCAGAGAGACGGTGTCTGCTGGGCTTGACAGGGGTGAGCAGGCCCCATTTCTCATCCACTGGCCACACCTCGCGGACGGATCAAGTCTGATCAGTACACATTTTCTTTGTCTACTGTCTGTTCACTTCCATAGAGTTTGGGTTCCATGAGGGTAGGGAAGATTATTTTTCAAAAAATATTATATCATCAGGGAAGGTGGGGGTGGGTGGGCGGATGGGAAGAGATCAACCAAAGAACTTCTATATATATATGCATAATCCATGGACACACATGATAGGGTGGTGGAGGCCTGGGGTGGGGGACGGAGGAGCTATAAGGGGTCAATGGGAGAAAAGGGGGACGTATGTAATGCTTTCAACAATAAAGAATTATTAAATATAATAATAAAATAAAAATGATTATATCATCAGAAGTCAGAGCAGGGCCTGGCATAGAGTGGTACTGAAGATATTTCTTTTAAAATATATTTTTACTGATTTCAGAGAGGAAGGGAGATGGAGAGATAGAAACATCAATGATGAGAGAAATCATTGATTGGCTGCCTCCTGCACGCCCCCTACTGGGGATCGAGCCCACAACCCGGCATGTGTCCTTGATTGGAATCGAACCTGGGACCCTTCAGTCCGCAGGCCGACGCTCTATCCCCTGAGCCAAACCAGCCAGGGCACAAAGATACTTCTTAAAAGAGTGACGAAAGGAATGAGTAAGGTTGGCAGGGGCGCTCCGAAGGCATCACAGCTCGGTTATCCCAACGCGTCCGCCCCGCGTTACTGCCCAGGGGCCCCGGTTGGAGAACCAGGTCTCCACAGACGGAGGCCCCCTCTGCTCAGTGACGCGTTCAAGTCCCCACTTCACAGTACTCTGTGACGGCAGCTGCAGGAAACTCGTATGTCATGGAAAAACCCCACGGGAGGCGGCCTCAGTTTCCCCGGAGCGGCTGAGCACAGACTCATTCTCATGCCCGGACTCGCTTGCCCTCACCCAGCTGACTTGCATTGGGACACGGTCAGGAGGCCAGGACGGGGCGGGGGGGGCGGGCAGTGAGCCGCCCCGTATTGCACACTGGCCCCCAGCCTCCCCTACCGCGGGCCCTGCTCTGGCCGCCCTGGAGGCTGGACGCTCCAGCATCTTCCCGGTCACCACACCCTGACCGCCAGGCTGCCATCTCCCCCGGGGCTCTGGGACCACCTGGAAAAACATTTATTTAACAGACTGAAAGGCTCACCTGGACCCAGGAAGGCCTGGCTTTCCAGAATTTTCCTTGACAGAACAGCTGGAAGCTGCAGCATCATCTGAAAGGCGGGTGGATTCCGGTCTCTGCTCTGGACCACTCCTCCCTGCGCTGAGTCTGGGAGCCACCGGGTGGCAGTAGAGACCGAGCCCAGACCAAGGCTAAGTGGGAGGGGATGGGAGGGGGGCTGGGGGAGACCCCCAAGGCCCAGGCAGCAGATGCGAGGGCCCCTGCCTCCATGGGAAGGGGGACCAGAGGGTCAGTGTGCGCTGAGAGTGGGCCGGAAGTCCAACGTGTGGAGGTCCCTGGGGGAGTCGCCTGGGCCCCCCATTTAGAAGCAGTGGCTTTCCAGCGCCCAAGGTGGTCCCTGTGGGTGTTAGAGGGCCAGAGGCTGCCCATCAGGGAGACCCAGGGAGAGGGCGGGGGTGGGAGGGGAGCACAGGGCAGAGCACAGGCCCATGGAGCTACGGGCCTGAGACCCACCAGCAGCAGGTGAACCGAACCAGGTGCCTCACCCCCTCACCTGTGCATTGTGGGTAATGACTGTGCTTACCTGGCAGGGCTCCCCCAGACAGTGCAGCAGGGAGCACCGTGCCCGGCGCCCAGCCCAGCCCAGTTGACACCCACCACCACCCTCCCAGGGAGCTTTTAAACCGTCTACGCCACCCCGAGAGCCTGTGGACAT